GCGGATATTATGCAATCTGTTAACTAATTTGACAATGATGACACTAACCTAAACAGCAAAGCATTTTGTTAGCGCCTTACTTTTCATAAAGACATAATAAAAAATAAAAAATAAAATCTCACCTCCTCTGTCATGACTAGTAGGGCTTAGCAAACAGTCAATTCAGTTCATTAAATTCGAATAACTGACTTAATGAATTTAATTTATTATAAAAATTGAACCAACCGATATATATAAATAAATTAAAAAATGTATTTTATATATTTATATATAATAATGTAATAATAAAATTTTTTTATATATTTACATATGATATTTTTATATATTTATATATGATATATGATAATAATAAAATATAAATTTTTATAAGAAAATTTTATATAAATTATATATTAGTACATAACGAATGTATAATACTAAGTCAAATCCAATAAAACGAAATTAAACTCATTAAAAATCCTCCCCTTTTAGATTTCAATATGTTTTCTTGGGTTAATCTGTTTTAGTTTTTATTTCTTGCATTAAGTATACTTCTATTTTATTATTAGGTATACTTATATTATATATATATATTTTTAATTATTTATTTTGTATTAAGTTGGATATTTCGATTTATTCAATTTAAGTATTTTAAAACCGAAAACCGATCGTTTTAATCATTTTAATCAAAATAATAATCGAAATACTTATATAACCCAAATTATCTGATCCGATTTCCCCTTAAAATTTGATTTTTGATTTTTTTGTTTTTTCAGTTTTACCCAAATTTGCTCAGCCCTAATGGCTAGAAACATCTGCCGCAGGTCGTCAGCTTTCACATCTTTTACTGAATCATTTTCATTCTTATACTTCAATTTTCCCGACTTGGATACCTGTTCTAGGAAAATAAAAGAAGCCAACATGAGCCGAAACTATCTAGAGTTTTGTTTGATATGATATTCAAGCTAGACGAAGACATTAATAATATTTGTAGAAGTATCAATAAAGCACCTTAGTCTCTCCTTCTACAATGCGGTGTACGGTAAGACCAAACTCCTCTTCTATTCTTTCAAATGTAACAACATTTGTATCTTCCACAGTGTCATGAAGCAATCCAGCTGCAATAGACTCAAAATCCAACTCCTAGAATAATGGTTGAGGCAAGTTAGACTTCAGATCACAATGTAGAATACATTTTTTCAATTCTAAATTTGGAAAGCCAACAGAAAAACCCAATTTTCTGAATCTTGCTTTATCAAAATGACCTTCTTCCGCACTATCTGCTGCATGAGAAACTAAACTCGACGTATCTGATTTAAACCAACAAAGTCCATGGAGCTGTCAATCAATTATTTTGGTTTTGTACAATCAATGCTTGGAAAACCGATTATTTTTCTTATAAGAATTACGTGCAAAATAAAACAAAAAGAGTATATAAAACATGCAAAGAAAATAAAAAAGGTGAAAGAAAAATGACCCATTTGCAGAGAATTCAATTTCAGAGAGGTTATTAAATAGTGGCCGGCTTTGATCCAAAAACAGACAGTTGAGCAGAACGGATGTATTGAATTTCCACTTTCGGTGGTAATTGATGGGCAAACAAAAGACTAAATTTGATTAAAGATACAAGCTCATTAAATCACCATAACATAATCAAAGAAAAAAAAAATCAAATCATGCAAAAACATATCACAAAATGAATATCAGAGAAGCGACCTTCTGGAACCTTAACGAAAAGGACTTGTCCTATTCGCTTCTCATATCTTATTTATAGCCCAAACTCATATTCTCTTGATTTTGCTTTCTTTCCTAATTGCGGGTATGTTGTTACAGGGTGAATGTCCATTGCCGACCCAAAGAGGAAACATGAATCAAGAATGGAAAAGACTCCCTCTAAAAACTTCTTGTTGAGGGTCGGTTAAAGCAAACAGCTGAATGCCCAAATCTGTCCTTTTCTCGTTTTTTTTTTTAGACATTGAATACTTGTGCTGGAAATTGGAGTCGAGGACTCCTTTTACCATAAGTAATAGATTCGTGGATATTTGATTTAATTTCCTTCATATATATATATTTTTTTGAAATTGTCAATTTCTCTTTCTCCACTCTTCATATCTTTAGAAAAATTTTAAAACATAACTTGATATCAAGATATTACATTATATTATTGTACAATAGGAAATTTGAATTTAGAACCTGTAAATAATGAAAAGCTGTCCATGGAATTTACATTATATTATTTGTACAATAGTAATTTTCGCAATAAATCACATCATTTTTTACTTGCATACGAAATTATATCTATCGATAAATTCTATCAATAATAGTTAAATTTTTTTTACAAATACATTCTATCAATGTTCTATCGATGGTGTCAATATTTTTAGTAATGTAACCGTACACTGAGAACACAAAGTTAGAACTCAATAAATTCTTAATTCCATGGTGGTCGAATTGAGTTCTAACTTTGTGTTCTCAGTGTACGATTACATTACTAAAACTATTGACACCATCGATAGAATATTGATAGAATGTATTTGTAAAAAAAATTTAACTATTATTGATAGAACTTATCGATAGATATAATTTCGTATGCAAGTAAAAAATGATGTGATTTATTGCGAAAATTACTTACAGAACATTTTGTTAATAAAAAAGATTTATAAAAAAAATAATTGTTGATTATCAATGGAATTTTTTAATTTTGCTTTTTTTGTTATCAATGGAACGTTTTGTCAATAAAAAAGATTTATGAAAAAAAGGCTAAAATTTTAATTTTTGAACTTTTTTGTTTTTTTTCTTTATTTTATTGATCATTTTCTTGTTTTTTGCATATAAATGTTTAAGAACTTCGTGTTGATTATAAAGTGTGATATTTATTATTTCTTTTATAAAAAATTATTCTTCATATTTATATGCTACACTTTTACTTCTTTGCATTTAGATGTAGAATTTATATGAGATATACATATGAACAAATATATGCTTGCACAAATTTTTCATTAGGTTGTGTTACTATAACTTTTTCTAGACAACTTTTTTCCTTAAATAAACTCCTAACTTTTATATTTTATTTGTGTTATTTCAAGGTGGAGATTAGGATAAGGGCCGTCAACATTCACATGTCTTGTAGGTACTTCTATTATTGAATATTAGAAGTACTTATTTATTTGACTTACATTTATTATGTTTGCACGAATTTGTAATTTATATGTATTTTTTGTATTTTTATTTAATAGAATTTATTAATAATTTTGTAAAATATTTTACATTCTTTTATAAATAAAATAGAGCATTTTGTTTATTTATGTTTTTTATTTATGTATATTTAGTATTAATGTAATTACTTTAAAAATAAATTAAAAAAATGAAACAAAATAACAAAAATTATATATAATATATTAAATATAATTAAAAAATAAATAATATCAATAAATTACCGATGGATTACTAATAAAATTTATCGATAATGAAAAATTTTATCAATAAATTCCGTCAATAATGCTGTTACTAATGGAAAAATTTTATCAAATTGCTCGTATTCCTAGACTTTGAAGGACGGCAGACCAAAGCAGGATGCAAGCTTCCCAGTGATATGTCCCTTGGCTGAAAAGTTTGACGGGATCATATCTAAAGTGAAATAGTTGAAGTTGGGTTATATCCAGTGGTATTAAAAGTTTTGGTTTCTCTTAATCTCGTATTTTTTTGGTAAAGAAATAACTACCAATAACCAATTCTCAATTTTTGACATAAATCGTAAGACGGCTTTCAAATCAAACCCAATATTAAACAGGAGCTAGAAAAGTGAAACCCTTCCAGTAACTACTATAATTACTCGAGGAAAATTGGGTTGAATTGGATTTTGGAAGACAGAACGTGTATAAATTTTTCAGAGTTCATCGCAAGGTTACAAGGTTGGAACTTAATGCATGTGTCACGGGTTAAGATTTAAGTTTTAAATTCGCGTGATTTTGAGATCTGGATATTCATCTTTTTGGTCTCTCAGATCAATCTTTTTGTTACGGTTTACATCCTTGTGAGGTATTGTCCGCTCTGACTCTTCTGACCTCACGATTTTGTCCTACAAAAAGTACTTCACAATGTTGAAACGGTGTGAACCCTTTTATACCCTAGTGATCCTCCTATTATATTCGATATAAGATTCAGGACTCGTCTTTAGGTTCATGACATTTTTTCGCATCTAACCTCGTGACGTCCTTGTCACGAAGGCTGGCCATCCTACCTACCTCCCTTGAGGGGTTCGACATGGATCGAACGGTTTAAGGCTGGCTCTGATACCACTTGTCATGGGTCGAGATTTAAGGTTCGAATTCACACGACTTCGGGACCCAAATATTTATCATTTTGACGTCTTAGATCAGCCTGACCGTCACGGTTCACACCCTTGTGAGATATTGTCCGCTCTGGCCCCCCTAACTTTACGATTTTATTTTACAAAGACGTCTCACAAGGTTGAGATTACGTGAATCCTTTTATACCCAGTAACATTCTTATTATGTTCGATATGAGATTCAAGATTCTTTCTTAGATTCGTGACATATGGACTTTGGTCTGTTGGCCCTTTTCCTAATAAAAGTAAAAAAACAAAAGAATCAGCATGGACTTTGATACGATGGATAGTCTCCATCTCCAAGTCCAATATATAAAACACTGGCCTAAGAGCCCAAGAGAAGCCCTGAACTTCTTACTATGCATTCCCTGTAGAGTTTTTACATCCAAAGGTAGCAAAAATTGAATCCCAAATCACTATTGGACGATTCAAACATATTAATTTATTATAAGAAGATGGTCCAACGCAATCTAATAGAAATCGGGTTAAAATCGGGACTGTTTTAGCAATTAAATCTTCTTTGGTGAACAAAAATTTATTGTCTACCCTTTTGTTCTTTGCTTGCCGCAAGGAATGGTTAAAGAAAAAGAAAGGATTCGATCGTTTATTTGTTATTCTTTGGCTTTTTCTTCAGAATCACTTGCCTCAACAATGTGGTAAGAATCCAACTTTCCGTGTGCAGTACTCTGTCATGGGAATCAATTAAACCTGTTGCACAAGCAAGAATTATACAGTTAAAACTTTGAGCAATATAGTAAGGGTAATCATGGTTTTGTTATCAGAAAGCAAATATTCTACAAATTTGTGCAATCATGGATTTGTCAGCTATTTCCTCTGTTGTCCAGACGATTGGCGGGCTGCTAACTCAGGAAGTGACATCCTTGTGGGGCGTGAAGGATCAAGTTGAGGATTTGCAAAGGGAGCTGATATGGATGCAAAGCTTCTTAAAAGAGTCAGATGCAAGAAAAGCTGCTGATAATGAGGTGGTACGCACCAGTGTTGCTGAAATCAGAGGGCTGGCCTATGATGCTGAAGATATCATTGAGACTTTCGCTCTCAAAGTTGCACCCCAAAGGAAATATGTCATAAAAAGGGCTGTTTGTATCCTGAAGGAGGGATGGTTGCTCTGCCAAACGAAGTCAGAGATAGAGAAAATCACAGCCAAAATCACAAAACGGAAACAACGACTACAGACATATGATGTTAAAAAATCAGGGGATGAAGGAGCGTCAAGTTCTTCAAAAGAAAGGCTGGAGTCAAGGCGGCCTTATCCTCATATTATTGATGATAATATTGTTGGATTGGACGAGGATATCAAGAAATTGGTGTCAGTTCTTGTTGATGAGGAAAGCCGTTTCAGGGTTGTTTCCATATGGGGAATGGGTGGTCTGGGGAAGACCACTCTTGCTAAGAAAATATACCGTCATAGCCAGGTTATTGGTCATTTCAGTCGCTTGGCTTGGGTATATGTTTCTCAACAGTGCCATAAAAGAAAAGTGTGGGAAGACATTTTATCCAGCCTTACCTCCATCAATGAGAGAGGTAGCAAGCAGAGTGATGAAGAATTAGCAGAGAAGTTGTCTAACTTCATGAAGGATCACAAATGTTTGGTTGTACTTGATGATATTTGGAGCATCCAGGCTTGGGATAATCTACGACCTGCTTTTCCAGAAAGGGAGACGAGTAGCAAGTTATTGCTCACCTCTCGCAACAAAGAAGTAGCTTCACATGCAGATAGCAGAGGTTACTTGCATGAATTGCAATGCTTAAATGATGAAGAAAGCTGGGAATTATTTCAAAAGATAGCATTTCCTGAAACAGATCCTACAGGTAACGTCTTACTGAATCAACATTTGTAAATTATTTTTAAGTTTCTGACATCAAAAATCATGGAACATCAATCTTATAAACAAAAAGATGTCCCTAGGGTTAAATATATATTCAAACTTAAACGATGATGAAATGGTTAATTTTGGCTTCTGTAGAAAAAAATAGTTGAAATTAAGTAGCACTATTGTCTAACTCTAGCCCTATTGTCTAACTCTATTGGTTAAACGGTGATATGTCCAAAAACATCCAATAAAGGTGGAACACAAGTGCTATGATTGCATTATTGGGTTTTGTGAAAAACTTAAATATTTAGATACCTAGGGGCACCTTAGGTTAAAATTTAATACTCCAACATTTGAAAAACTTGGAAGTTGAGTTGAATCCTGTGATGGGATGAATGGAACTAATGAAAAATGAAAGTATTAGTTGCCTCTGCTTTTGTAAATAATATTACAAAGGAGAATCCAAAAATAATATTTCAATGGCTAATATTCTGCCTTTGTATGTAAAACAAAAAGGGGTTTTATACTGCAATGAGATTGGATTACCTATTCATTCCGCTAATTTAGAGAAATGAATCCCAATGTTATTTAGTTGATCTTATTCTCTTACTTGTTGTTTGAATGACATCCTTCTATGCGTGGATTCTTTTTTAAAAAATTATTTATAAATAAATAATCTTAATTTGAACACTATTATAAATAATAATAATAGTTCCTATAAAAGATAATAATAATAGTAATAATAAAATCAATATAATTATTTAATTCAATTTGAATTTTTTAAGTACTCGGATTTTGAATTTAGGTGAAAAAGGAAATTTTTTGGATAATGATTTGAATTTTTGCAAATTTTTAATATTCGTGGATACTTGATTTAGCTCCCTACAATTTTTTTTTGTTTGAATTTTTCAGTTTCCCTTTCTCCACTCTTCATATCTTTCCTTTAGAAAAAATTTAAAAAACAACTTGGAATCAAGATATTGCATTCTATTATTGTACACAAGGAAATATTAACTAGGAACCTGTAAATAATGAAAGGCTGTCCATGGTGGTTGAATTGAATTCTTACTTGGTGTTCTTATTATACAGATTATAGAGTTGATGAACGAAAGAATGAGTTAGGGAAAAGCATGGTTAAACATTGTGCAGGGTTACCATTAGCCATCATTGTGTTGGGAGGAATTTTGGCTACAAAGAATACATTCGCTGAATGGCGAATGGTGTTTAACAATGTTAAGTTTCACTTGAACAGAGGCAAAGGTCAAAGTACGGAGGAGGTGTTAGCCTTAAGTTATGATGATTTGCCACCCCATTTAAGACCATGTTTCCTTTATTTGAGTCATTTTCCAGAGGATTATGAGATACATGCAAAAAGATTGATTCAGTTATGGGTTGCTGAAGGTATTGTTTCATCAAAGCAAGAAGAAGGAAATGAAGGGGAAATGATTGAACATGTGGCAGAACGTTACTTAATTGAGCTTGTAGAAAGGTGCATGATTCAAGTTGAAGAAAGGGACGCAACCTTCAAAATCAAAACGCTTCACATGCATGATCTCATGAGAGATCTTTGCTTGTCAAAGGCAAAACAGGAAAATTTTCTCTTCATAATGGATGAATCATTTATGCATTCGCATGGCCCTAATGTTTTGCCATTTATCCGCAGAGTTGCTGCACATCATTTTTTTCTGATAAAGCGCATTAAATGTCCCCACCTTCGATCACTTTTGATTTTTAATGAGTTCTTTCCACTGGAGTCACTTTTTTCAAGCTCTGTGCCCCTGAGAATACTGGAAAATTGCGATGATAAGTGGTGCGATAATTCTTGCTTTGAACTGCTTCCCATTGTGGAACCTTTGGTGTTCATATTATATTTATCTAAAATGGGGGGAATTTGGACATACATTTTGAACAATTTCAAATTGCTTAGAGTCCTAAACTTTGAAGGACAAGAGAGCCCAGCAGGATGCAAGCTTCCCACTGATATAGGTAATCTCATCCATTTGAGATTCTTGTGTTTACGGCGTCTTGTCTTCTATAGCTCAAAGTTGCCATCATCTCTAGGCAATCTAAGGTGCTTGCAAACCTTGGATTTAAGAGTTGAAAATTTCAAATTCAAAACCTATTCATGTACCTAATGTGATATGGAGGATGGAACAACTAAGACATTTGTATCTCCCTCAGGAATTTGATCGTAAAACAAAGTTGAAGTTGGGTACGTTGAGAAAACTTCAAACACTTGTGAATTTCAGCACGAGGAGTTGTTATGTAGAAGATCTTCTCAACATGACAAATCTTAGCGAGTTGGAGATTTGTTTGCCTTTCGATATTAAAGATTTTAAGGTGGATTTGGAAATGAATCCGCGAATCTTGGCAAGCAAATGCCTTCGATCCTTATCCATTAGGAGTAATGATTTTCGTCAAGGAATAGATCCAAGACATTTAGCACACCTCCTTTCAAGCTGTCTTAATATTTGTGAGTTGAGTTTAAGGGTAAAGATAGGGAAGTTACCAGAGTACCACCACTTCTCTGCAGATATTGCTTATATACACTTGCGTAAGTCTGACCTTGAGGAAGATCCAATGCCAACATTAGAGAAGCTGCCTAACTTAAGGATTCTCGAGTTACAATCCGAAGCTTTCACGGGGAAAGAAATGGTTTGCTCTGCACAATGTTTTCCTAAACTTGAATCTCTAAGCCTTGACATGGCTTTCCAATTTGGAGGAGTGGAAGGTGAATAAAGGAGCCATGCCTAATCTACGATATTTGAGGATCGCAGAGTGCCCAAGTCTGAAGAAGCTTCCAGACGAATTGAGGTTCATTACAACCCTCAAAGAATTGAAGATTAAATCAATGCCAAAAGCCTTCAAAGATACATTGGTGGAAGGAGGAGAAGATTTCTACAAAGTCCAACATGTTCCTTCTATCATAGTTCAAAACTGGTCGTCCTAGTAATTATGATCGTTGCCAGGTAACTTTACAATATTCTAAACTTGTTCTTGTGTTATGACTGTTTTGCATATTTAAATTCTATTTTTTGTGAAATTGATACTCTATTTCCCAGTTTGATGTTCAGATTAACTAAGTACACCAATAAGCTAAAAGGTTAAATCTTCATTGAAAAATTGGGACCAGACTAATGTTTTAGCTGCTTCTATCTCACTGCATGTTTTTTGGGTAGGTAAAAACAAGTATGCACTTCTTGTTCTATCTTCCTCTGTGGTTTTCATGCTATTGACAATAGAGGACATTTTTATTTGAATTTAGAGGGCATGATAGTGTTTTTCAATAAGGTGTAATTGGGGCACTTTCATGAGCAGATGCAAATTCTGATCAATATAAAAATAGATAATGTTTTCTTTCTGCTCTCCATCATGCATGGCTAGCTTTTCATCTAATTCTAAGTTATTTCATAACCAAAACAAATTTCCATTGTTGGGATCTTAAATAGAGAATTTCATTTGCTTTTATTTTTTTCAGGTAAAGAAGGCACTAATATTTTGCTCTTCACCATTGGAGCGACTTCTGAATATAGTTGTTCCAATACTGTAGAACTGTCCCTGATTTGGAATCAGATATTAATGTAAAGTTGTGTTGTTGACATGAGATTAGTGTGTTTGTTGTTCCATGGATTTGTTTTGTGTGTTCTAATTAAAGACCTCATTGTTTTATCAAGTGACTTTATTGTATATGTGACTATTGTTCAAAATTTTCAAATGCTGTGAATGTATATGTAGATTGGGTGATTAACAGGTATCCGTATCACTCAAATCAGAAGTAATGCAGTCTGTTTTGTTTAATATGACTACTATGAAGTAGGATTTGTTATGTATTGGCAGAAACAGCTGGGGGCTTTGCTTTTGTTGGAAGTATGAAAATGTTAATGGTATTTTTATTTTTTGCTGGTTTAAATTTTCATGCTCTTAATTCTAATTCTCAATCTTTTCATCTATGAAACATAATTTATTTTGGTAGTATCCTGTTAGTCAATTGCTCTGCCTGAAATCATCTATTGAGGTGATTAATCAAAATGGGATTAACATTGAAATTTTTTCAATTTTTGCAGTGAAAAAGACATGTTGGTTTCATTGTTTAAGTGTTTCTTGGTTTCGAGTCAGATTAATTTTGTTTTAATGCTGATAAATGGAGGAAATAGTGAATCTATTCTTCAGAATATGGGTGCCAATGGGTTTTAATTTTCACCCATTAGTTGTTTCATAATTTTATTGAACCTCTCTTTTCATTTCTTGGCATAGTTGCCATAGCTGCAATTAACTTTTGTTGCTAAAGCATAACTTTACTGAGAATCAAACTTCCGATTAAGAAAATAAAAGTAAAAATAGTGACAAAAATAATTCATATGGCTTTTAAACTGAATTCTTCATTCGAATCATGAAAAACGAAGAAAAAAAAAATTAGCATTTGATGATTGTAGAAGAATTTGGATGAAATAATTTTTCATATAAAATTTCTAATTATGCAACCTATTTTTTATTATTATTTTCACAAATTACTTAAAGCAAAACAAAATAAAAATTAAAAGCCTATGATTGTTTTAATTGCTTTCAAATCATCAATTGCGTATTTTAACATGTACTTTTCAATTTGGAATATATCATATACAATTATTGATTTTTAATTAATCAATCACAACTTAAAATTATTTGAAATTCATTCAAAATTTCAATGAATCTCATGTTTATAAATGATAAATTCTTATATAATTTTAAATTATAGCAGAACAATTGTAGAATTGAAGTAAAAATATTAGTAGGAGAAATGCTTCCCTCCAATCTCCATAAACAACTCCTCAAATTACTCAAAATCCCTAATATAATCTGGCAGTCTTTACTAACAACAGTCATTTCATCTAGGATATTCTTGGGCACAACAACCCGAGGGTTCTTCTTGAAAAGGTCGGAGCAGAAACTAATGAAAGGAATAACATCGCGAGTAATAGTAAGCTTGGCAGCATCGGAGCCTTTATCGCTAAGAACACGTCCGGCACCATCGATACCATCGTGTGCAGCCAGAAACCTCTACCAGCATGAATCCAGAAGGTTATGAAGTGCAGGGTTCTTTGTGTCGGAGTACAGGTTATTGGTATCAGTATATAGTTTATCCGCATCTCGTGTACCACAAGCAATTGATATCGATGCTAGGCCCCTAACATCTGCCGTCTGGCTCTTCGGATCACTGTGACGACATGTCTTGCAGAGAATAGGGTCTGGTGTTTTGTTGCAGACATTGATGATCGTTGATTCATCAGAGGTTACTTGAAAGGGTTGCAAAGTGAAGGTTATGATAATGAGGGAGAAAGTGAAGAGGCAAAGCCTGAAATTCGTCATTGTTACTGCTACCCTAGCTACAACTTTGCCTTTGTTTTGTGACTTTGTGAATGAAAAGATTCTTGTCTGATAGAACTTATATATTGCTAGGTTTGCTTAAGTTTTTGCTGGGTTTCCTTCTATGAATCTAAGAACTATATTTTTTTTCCCTTTTTTTTTTGTTTTCATTTAAGGCAATAGCAAAAAGACCATAACATAAAAACATGTATAGAAATTAATATAGCTAGCTGTATTTTTTTTTCATGAATAGAAGAAGAGGTTGGAACTTTAGATTTATTAAACGTTACCTTCTAAAAATAATTGTATGAATTAATTGATTAAGTTTTGAATTCGATATGGCTAATTGTATATTGAAATAATTGCTTATATTATGAAATAATTGTTATTTTTGGAACTAGTATAATTAATGCATATTTTCTAAAAATTAATCAGTTATATATAGTTTTTATTAACAATAAAAGACAAAAAATAATACTAATGATAAGTAATTATGAAATTCAATTTAAAATTAAAATAAGTGAAAAATATCAAGTTATGCTATTCATCTTCAATGAAGTATGAAGTGCAACTAATGCATGAGTAGAATTGGAACTTTAGTTAACCAATTCTCTTTGATTGAATCACTTAATTTCATGTGATTAGTGTTAAATTACTTTTTTTTTAATTGAGATTATCAAATTTTAAATCTTTATCAATTCGCTAATATATTCCAAGATTGTTCGCATGTTAAATTAATTTTTTACTAAAAATTATATAATACAAATATAGGTGTGATTTTGAAACACCGATAATATGCCATGTATAATTGAAAGAAGAATTTAAGAAATTTTAATCCTATATTAGCTATAGCAAATTAAGATGAAAAATGTCAAATTAAATTAATTAATTCATCTAATTGAATTTAAATCTTTCATTTTTTTTGTCATGAAACATAGTTCGACAATAACATCCTATTATTTTTCATGAATATTGAATTAAATATCTTAATATTATTTTTATTTTTTTATTAATATTTATCCAAACATAACTTAAATTCAAGTGATAGCGCCCATCGTCCTCCACTTATAACATTCCTAACCACTCTTGGCTTGGAGTGCTCAAATTACAACGAAGAAAACTCAATTTTTCAGGCTAGTCTTCCGGTAACAAAAAGAAAAAATTAAGGCCGAAGACTAAAGACTTTGCGTTGTATGATGAAGAAATCAACCACCAATACTAGAATAAACAGCAAAATTAGAATCCATCTAGTTTAGATCCTAAACCAAATTGAGAACCAAATCAAGAAAAAAATGTGTCCTAGATTAGTATATTATTGCAAACTTTGCCCGAACACAAAAACTGGTCATAACTTCTTCCTATACCATATAGATACCAAACTTTAAGGACTTAAAATTTCTCTTAGCCATGGAACTCATGATTCATCTCAACAAGACTAAGGAGATCTTGAGGAAGCTTAGATAGGAGTAGTTATGGCAAGTTGCAGGCCGCTAGGGTTTCTGCTAGGGTTGCCCTTTGCACTTCTTAGTTTGATTTTTTCTCTTATCGGCATTATCATTGGGATTGTTGGGTAAGTTAATTTTCAATTTTATCTTTTTACGAAAATGATCGTAATCTGAAAATAAAAAAATTTAAAAAAAAAGATACAAGTGATCAAATTTCTTCTCTTAATCTATTTTTATTTTTTCTTTAAATGTTTGTTTTTGTCGTAATTTTTTACGAACTTGAAAATCGAACTAACAAAGTTAATTTATTAATTTTTTTTCTTTATGATCATAAACTTAATTTATTGGCTTAGAGATCGAATCAATTTCCCTCCTTATTATTCACATTTTCTTTATGATTCCTCTTGCTTTTGTAAATGGAGTATGAGATTGGAATATTCAAATTAAACTTGGAAAAACTTTTCAATTAATTCTCTTTTTGAGGATTAATTATTTATGTAAGTTTGCTAATATTTTATTGTAAATTATTGACAGGTCTATATTGGGTTGTCTATGCCCCTGCTGCGCATGTTGTGTTCCAATAGCTGAAATGGCAATGAGCATTGTGAAGCTTCCTGTAAAAATAATTCAATGGTTTATTGAACAAATTCCTTGTTGAGATTTTATTTCTTGGTTTTTGAGCCAAAACTTTCATTTCTTAGTTAATTTCTATATGTTGTACTATTGGATTAGGTAGTCTTTGAGAAATGGGTGCCCCATTTCTCTTTGTTTTTCTTTAAAATTTTGATTCTTCCATCAATTTAAGTGTTAATTCTTACATTAAGCATTAGGTAACATCACATGTATAACACGTGATTTCAATAGACATGTATGAATTGAATGATATTATATAGATATATATATATAAATTATAAAAATTTTTAAAATTATATTAAATTTTGAAAAAAAAAAAAGTCCACTTTTTATTTTTTTAAAAATATTTATTTCATTCATTCTTTTCTTTTATTCTTTCCTTTATCTTCGTCTTCCCTCTCTCTTCCTCATGCAACCAAAAAGCCAAAAATCTTCAATCCTTACCCAACCAAAACTATGGATAACAACCTATTGGGATTGGGTGGTTTTTAATCAAAATAAATTTAATGATTTTAATTTAGTATTATATTTATAAAAATATTATTTTTAATATAAATTATACATTAATTATATATAAATATAATAATTTTATTAAATTAATATTTTAAATTAAAATTTTATTAATAATATATACATATATAATATAAAATTAAATAAGTAATAAAATATATACTTTATATATATATATATATATATATATATATATATCTTTAGACGGAGTGGGGTGCGGTACCATAAAACCCGTTTTGGATCCAACCTCCAATTTAAAAGAATTGCCATTATTAGACCGGGATAGATAAAAATCCATCGATTATAGATTTTTTTGGTTAAATACACATTTAGTCTGTAAACTTTATATTTTCTATGATATTGATACCTAAAAAATTATAATTACCACATTGATACCTAAACTTTTAATCAATTATCACAATGGTACTTGCAACTAATGCCGTTGTTAATTTTATTTACCTGAACATCTAATAGGATGCGAACAAGCATAAAAAATGTAATTAGTCTCACATCATTATCTAAAGAAAATTTCAAACAAATTCTAAAAATTTTGAAAATTATAAAAAAATTCAAAAAAAATTAAAACTTTCAAAAATTTTTATATTTTTAACAATTTTAAATAATTTAAAAATTTTTTAGAAAATTCTAAAAAATTAAAAAATTAAAAAGAAAATTCTAAAAAATTCTAAATATCTTAAACATTCAATAATTTTCAAAACATTTTTAGAAACTTCAAAAAATTAAAAATTAAAAATTATTTTGAAAAATTTTTTAGAAACTCTAACAATTGTAAAAAAAATTTAATGAATTCTAAATAATTCTAAATTTTTTTAAAAAAATTCCAAAATATTTTAAAATTTTCTAAAAGAATTAAGGAAACCCAAAAATTTTCAAAAATCATAAAATTTTTAAAAATAAAAAAAATTTCAGAAAAAATAAAAGATACAAAAATGATGATTTTAATAAAAAAATTTGTCAAAATTCAAAAAAAATTCAAAATAACTTAAAAATATTTAAAGCAAAGAAATAAAAGATATATAAAATATAAAAAATTCTGCAATTGTTTCTTACTTTTTTTCATCTTACAATTTCAATTTTTATATATTTTTTGAATTTTTTGAATTTTATTAAATTTTTATGTTTTCTTTTTTTGAATTTTATTTTTTTAGCTTTAAAGAAAGTTTCAAAAGTTTGAAATTATTTAATTTTTAAAAATTTTTAGATTTTTTTTATTTTCAGTTTTTTAAGCTTTTGTGATGTTTTTAATTTGAAGAAATTTTAATGTTTTTTTATAATGTTTTTTTATTTTCATTAAATTTTTTAGATTTTTAAAATTTTGAAATTATGATAATTTTTGTAATTTATAAAATTATTTTATATTTTTAATTTTTATAAAATTTTAAAATTTTTTGACTGTTTAAAAAATTCTTAGAATTTTTTAGAATTGCTTTGAAGTTCTTAGAATCTTTTGAAATCTAAAATTTTTTTTTTATAATTTTTAAAAACTTTTAAAAAATTTTTAGATTTTTTATTTTTTTGGGATTTTTTTGAAATTTTATAAATTTTTTTAGAATATTTTAGAATTGTTTTGAATTTTTTAAAGTTTTTAAAGTTGTTTTATTATTTTTTACAATTTTTTAAGTTTTTTAAATTTTAAATTTTTAGAATTTTTAGAAAATTTTTAAAAAATTATATATTTTTAAAATATTTTTTTAATTTAAAAAAAATAAAAATTTTCTCTTTTTATTGTGATGTGGCATTGATAATTTCTTAACATCTAAATTTATGAATCTATCACTAGACACAATTAAAGGAGTCACCACTATTTTTTTTTTAGTTACGATTAGCCACCTAATCGAATTTGTCCCATTTTGAAAAAATATTTTAACCTTGATTTAAGCATCTTTAAATGATAGATTCTAATTCAAGAAATTAGATCTAAGTCTAGGAGTATGGTTACTTATGAGAAATGTTATAATATTTTCATAATACCCATCAAATAATAATACCAGTTTGATTTCATATTATCTATGTCTTAAAATATTTTTAAATTTTTAACAAGTAAATTTAATTATTGAAAAATGATATTAAAATTACTTCAATTATTTAGTAGTGATTTAAGATAATTTTATCATATCATAAGTATTCATAAAGACTCGTATTTCACTCTAAAATGGCTATATCGTTAGATTCATTAACATATTTTTCAATACATTATTTTTGAAAACAATCAATAAAAACTTTCAATCATTTAGTAAGATTTTATTTTGATGCATATCCCTCAATCGTTTTGTGGGATTTTATTCAAAAACCTATTTACGAAAATTTTTTAAGAATTTTTCATTAAATTTTATAATAATTTAGTAAGATTTAACTGAAAAATATAAATTTTCTAATCATTTGATAGATTAAAAA